CTTCCTGCTTCTAATGTACTTAAAAAACATTTTGTTATTTCTTTTTGAGTTTTTGGCTAGCTGTTCCTCAAAATCTTTTTTTGCTTTTCTTATTACATTTTTACACTTGATTTGACAGTGTTTATGTTCTTTTCTATTTATCTCACTAGGATTGGACTTCCACTTCTTAAAAGATGCCTTTTTGTCCCTCACTGCTTCTTTTACATGGTGGTTAAGCCATGGTGACTCTCTTTTAGGTCTCTTGCTATGTTTTTTAATTTGGGGTATACATTTAAGTTGGGTCTCTATTATGGTGTCTTTAAAAAGTTTCCATGCAGCTTGCAGGGATTTGGCTCTAGTCATTGTGCCTTTTAATTTCCGTTTAACTAACCGACTCTCTTTTAGGTCTCTTGCTATGTTTTTTAATTTGGGGTATACATTTAAGTTGGGTCTCTATTATGGTGTCTTTAAAAAGTTTCCATGCAGCTTGCAGGGATTTGGCTCTAGTCATTGTGCCTTTTAATTTCCGTTTAACTAACCTCCTCATTTTTGAGTAATTCTCCTTTTTGAAATTAAATGCCAGAGTGCTGGACTGCTGAGGTGTTTTTCCCACCACAAAAATGTTACATATTATTATATTATGGCCACTATTCCCAAGCGGTCCTGTAACAGTTATCTTCTAGACCTGATCCTGCACTCCACTCAGGACTAAATCGAGAATTGCCTCTCCCCTTGTGGGTTCCTGTACTTTCCGCTCCAAGAAGCAGTCATTTAAGCCATTGAGAAATTTTATCTCTGCTTCTCTTCCTGAGGTGATATGTATCTAGTCAATATGGGGATAATTAAAGTCCCCTATTATTATAGAGTTCTTTATTTTGGAAGCCTCTCTAATCTCCCTCAGCATTTCAATGTCAGTATCGCTGTCCTAGTCAGGTGGTCAGTAATATATCCCTACTGCTAATTTCTTATTATTGGAGCATGGAATTACTATTCATAGCGATTATATTGAACATGTTGATTCATTTAATCTTTTTTATTTCATTTGATTCTACATTATCTTTCACATACAGTGCCACTCCGCTACCCACCCGGCCTGCTCTATCCTTCCGATATATTTTATATCCTGGTATGATTGTGTCCCACAGATTTTCCTTATTCCACCAGGTTTCAGTGATGCCTATTATGTCAATCTCCTTATTTAATACGATGTACTCTAGTTCCCTCATCTTATTAGTCAGACTCCTAGTATTTGTGTAGAAGCACTTTAAAAATTTGCCATTGCTTATTTGTCTGCCCTTCCCTGATGCATTGGATTCCATTATATGCAGTTGTTTGTCTGCTCTGGCCCATGGTTTGTCCTCTCCTCTCCTCTCTTTCTGACTACAGCTTAGAGAATCTCTATCAATGGATTCTCCTCTAAGAGAAGTCTCCATCCGATTTACGTGCATCTCCGCACCAATCGGCTTTCCCCCATCTCTTAGTTTAAAAACTTCTCTACGGCCGTTTTAATGTTTAGTGCCAGCAGTCTGGTTCCACCCTGTTTTAGGTGGAGCCCATCCTTCTTGTATAGGATCCCCTTCTCCCAAAAGTGTCCCCAGTTCCTAATAAAGCCAAACCCCTCTTCCCTACACCATCGTCTCATCCATGCATTGAGACTCTGAAGCTCTGCCTGCCTACATGGCCCTAAGCGTCCTAAAGTGTCCTCCGTTCCTAACAAATTAAAACCCCTCCTCTCTACACCATCGTCTCATCCATGCATTGAGACTCTGAAGCTCTGCCTGCCTACATGGCCCTAAGCGTGGAACTGGAAGCATTTCCGAGAATGCCACCCTAGAGGTCCTGGATTTCAGTCTCTTTCCTAGCAACCTAAATTTGGCCTCCAGGACATCTCTCCTATCCTTCCCTATGTCATTGGAACCTACATGTACCATGAGCACTGGCTCCTCCCCAGCACTACACATAAGTCTATCTAGATGCCTCGAAAGATCCGCAACCTTCGCACCAGGCAGGCAAATGACCATACGGTTCTTCTGGTCATCACAAACCCAACTATTTATGTTTCTAATGATCGAATCACCCACTACTAACACCTGCCTCTTCCTAACAACTGGCATTCCCCTCCCCTCAGAGGTATCCTCAGTGCGAGAGGATACTGCAATATCCTCTGGAAGGAGGGTCCCAACTACGGGATGGTTTCCCTCTGTTCCCTTGAGACTTTCATCCTCTTTAATTTGTCTACCTAGTATGACAGAAATGGAGCTGATATCTAACAATGTTAGAAATACCACATATAACCTAGTTAATGAGGGAAAGCTATTTAATGCTGGGTTATCAGATTTGCCTCTATGAATGTATTGGTCTAACTTCTACTGGGGCTTTGAGAAGTACATACAGGGAAAATGCAACGGCTTCCCAAATTTAAGAACATCTTGGTACACATAAGGACAATGGGGCACAGTTAGCTTCAATGATCCTGTATTATTTTCTCAACATTCTGAAACTCTGTTGTGTAATGCTGAGATCTATCAGACTAAAGGACTACAGGTTCTTGTGGGTGTGCTGGGTTGCTCTGGTACTGCCCACCAGGCATTCGTAGGGACTCCTTCCACTGGGGGTCAGAGGGAATCCTTCCCCTCCGGGACAGAGGAAGGCCAAGCTGCCTTACTACAGATCACAATGTATATTTTACTAATAACTCTAGATACATCAGAATAGATGCTCTGAATGTTCTCTTTGTGTTTTCTATTAACAATAATTATTATTTGTTGCTTGTATTATGATAGCACCTAAAAGGATGAACTGACAGCAACACCTCATCTTGACATTTTCTGTTTCACTTAGTCATCCATTAATCAACATTTCTTCTTTGACTGGACTATACTCATGTTTAACTTTTTTCATGTAGTAGCACCGCTGGTTCAATCTTGGGCTAAGGGATGCTAACATGGAATTTTGAATGTTATTAAATCTCTTCACAATCAATGAACACATTATTCTAACAAATATTTTATCATAGATCAGTATAAGGACTAAATCACCAAGATCACATTATACATGTTACCCTCTACTCCAGCATTCCCTGGTCCAGCAACATCCATGATCCAGCAAATGGACAGGACTTCTGGGGTCCACAAAAGGCTCTAATCTTAGGGAACATCTAGACTAAATTTTTCTTTTGAAAGAAGATATGGAAATATGCATATCTTCCGATTGATTTTTCAAAAGAGGTTTTTTCAAAAAAACAATCAGTCAAAAAGGATAGTTGTTTTTTAAGAACCGCGTCTAGACTGCTTGCTTTTTTGAAAAAACCTCTTTCAAAAATGCAATCGGAAGAAGATATGCAAATTCAGCACAAATTTGCATATCTTCTTTCGAAAGAAAAACATAGCCTAGATGTGCCCTTAGGGAAGCACTGGAAGAATCACTGACCACAAAACATCCCATGGGTAGGGTGGGGGTGGGGAGAGACAGGTTTTTAGGATTTGGCTATCAGACCCCATGTTGGAGACGTATGGGAGGATCTCTGGAAAGTTTAATTGCCTACATGTACAGTTTAATCTTTATAGAATGTTTTCTCTGAAATGCTTTTCGATATGCTTGCACAGGAAGCGCTATGTAGTAACTTACAACTGCTCAAAAAAGATATTTTGGCCTCAGAAAAGGACAACTAAAATGATCAGGGGTTTGGAACGGGTCCCATATGAGGAGAGGCTAAAGTGACTGGGACTTTTCAGTTTGGAAAAGAGGAGACTGAGGGGGGATATGATAGAGGTCTATAAAATCAACAGTGGTGTGGAGAGGGTGAATAAAGAAAAGTTGTTCATTAGTTCCCATAATATAAGGACTAAAAGACACCAAATGAAATTAATGGGTAGCAGGTTTAAAACTAATAAGCTAAAGTTCTTCTTCACACAGAGCATAGTCAACCTGTGGAACACCTTGCCAGAGGAGGCTGTGAAGGCTAGAACTATAACAGAGTTTAAACAGAAGCTAGATAAATTCATGGAGATTAGGTCCATAAAAGGCTATTAACCAGGGGGTAGGAATGCTGTCCCTGGCCTCTGTTTGTCAGAGGCTGGAGAGGGATGGCATAAGACAAATCGCTTGATTATTGTCTTCGGTCCACCCTCTCTGGGGTACCTGATGCCGGCCACTGTCGGCAGCTAGGCTACTGGGCTAGATGGACCTTTGGTCTGACCCAGTACGGCCATTCTTATGTTCTTATGCTGGCTATTAAGAGAAGGCAAGAGAAGAGAAGGCAAGAGAAGCCTTTTTAGGGAGCCTGTTTTTTGTCTAGGAGAGTGCAGGGAGGAAACTAGTAAGCCTGGAAGTACACCAGTTAGGAGCGAGAGGGAGATGGGTTTCTATCTAAAAAGGCAGTAGCTAGGAAGCCAGAAACCTGAGTGGCTGCCTTTGCTGTACCACAAAGGGAAATTTCAGGAGCAGTTGCTCTGAACTATAACAGTGTTCTGGTTGGAGGCACACAACTTTCTGGAAATATGATGCCCTTGATCTTGTAACACATGACAAAACAACTGATCCACTTGGACAGTCATTGTATTGTAACAGGATGCCCTTTCAATTGTTCCATGTAAGACCCAAGAAGGCTTGGGTTTCTTCCAAATAAAAGCTAGTGCTTGGGAAATATCCAACTTATGAAGCTTTTGCTCATCTTTTTGAGGATGTGTTTTTGGAAAAAAGACCAGAAAATATATTGATTAGTTGAGTTAAAATCAGATACTACTTTGGAAAGAAAAGTAGCATGTAATCTAAGCTAAAAATTCCCCTTGTAAAAAACATGTACAAACAAGCCACACCAGATCATTGCTGCTCCTCTACTCTTCTTGCTGAGGTGATGGATATTAGAAAGGAAACCTTTGTTGACAGAGGCAAGAACTAGCTGGTGGCTAATGGTTCAAAAGGGAGAGACCCATAAGGGCTGAGTTAAAATACCACTATGAAGTAGGACAATCTTTTTGGGCCTTTCAGGAACATGATGATCATGGTTAGAAAATACAGTACAATTCATAACACCAAATTTTGTGCACATTGCTAGAGCTGACTGCCAAAATGGACTCTGAGTGTAACAAACAGCCCAATATCTTTTGAATTACAGATTGCAAGGAGGCACATTGTGAGAAGCCACCCAAATAGTGACTGCTTCTACTTATTAAGATTAATAGGTCTTGTTGATAGTTCCGTACTGTAAAGTAGGACTTTCTGCACTGCTTTCAAATTGTGTCTCCTTTAGGATTAGCCATTGAGGCAGTGAGGTGTAGTGACTGAAGGTTTGGGTGCAACATCTGCTCATGTTTCTGGGTGTAAAGGAGCATGACTCACTGCCCTAGTGTCTCCTGCTGGTCACAATGGGAATCAGCTCTGTTTCTCAGGCTACATCTAGCCTGAAGAGCTTTTCCAGGACAGTTTCCAAAAAAGTGGGCATATTCTTTCGGCATCCATGTATGCCTCTTGGTGAGAGGAATAAGGGATGTTCCGAAGAAGGAGGTTTTTCCGAAATTTGGCCCCGTGTAGACAGGCCAAATTTTGGAAAAGCCTCCCCACCCTGCCAGAAAAGCAGAAAAAGATACCAAATTGTGGTTCGCAATTTGTGTATCTTTTTCTGAAAAAACGCCCTGCAGTCTAGACGTAGCCTCCACAGGGAGATCTCTTCTGGCTGGTGTCTCACCTGTTGTTGGCTTTGTGCTCTCTCTATGCTCTGCTCTGGACTCCATAATCCTGAGAGCAGGACACATGTCCCCTTTGGGACGCTGCTTTCAGACAGTGCTCACTACACTCTGGTTTCTCGCCCCTCTTCTGGGGGATATCAGCAGTCCTCAGTCTCTACACCTTCCACTTTGGGCAACTGCAGACGGGTCTATTGTCTCACATCAGGATCAAGCTATAGTCTGTATTGGCCACAGTCCTTGGTGGCAATGTGTGGTGCAAGGAGGAGTGGGGAAGGGGGAGGCAAGGCCCACCCACGACTCTGGATCCTGACCCAGGGACCTTCTGGCAGCAGCTCTATCCTGTCCTCCTTCATTCTCCTTTTACTGCCTCCTGTTCACTGGGCCACTTCTCCTTTGACCCTTGAACCCTCCTGGCTTTTGTATCAAGGTTTGCAGCCTGGCAGGTATCAGACTGGAGCCTCTCTTACTCTGCTCCTCCAAGCCTGCCCAGCACTGCTCCATCCAAAGTTCTTCTACGGGAACCAGTCCTGCACCTTCCCCAACTGCCCTCTCCTCCGTTGAGCAGCTCCTTATAACCAGAGCTGCTCCAGTAAGCTGCCTCTTGATTAGCTCCTTCTAAGAGCCCTTTCCTCATAGTCTGGGACTTTGCACAGGCTCCCTCCAGTCTGCTTTACTCCTTCTGGCCATAGTTGGCAGCTGCCCCACTACGCTGCGATCTCAGCTCCTTCTTCCTGATGGACAATCTGCCCAAGTCCAAGAACCACAACTACACTGCACAGAATAGTGCAATGCGTATCATTTTGCCTCACTCTTGCTTGAAATTACTTTTGTAAATCAGCAACACCAGACAGTAACATAGAACAAGCCTACAGTGGTATTAACATTACATTAAACTTTAAATTGAAAATATTTTAATAAGTTTATGTTAAATGGGTTTAAAAACTAGCTTTTGAAGCACCTGGGCTTTGAGCTTTCATAGTGTGAAATAACCTTTTACACAGTTCCCCAGTGTCTCAGACAGGGAGACAGTTCTTGTGATTTCTTACTTTGGGCATGAGGCCCCATGCATGTCTGCCCTGAGAAACCATAAGCATGAAGCGACGAGGAGTCCTGTGGCACCTTATAGACTAACTGAAGTGTAGGAGCATAAGCTTTCGTGGGCAAAGACCCACTTCGTCAGATGCATGTAGTGGAAATTTCCAGAAGCAGGAATAAATATGCAGGCCAGGATCAGGCTGGAGATGACCAGGTGGATCCAATCAAGGAGGATGAGGCCCACTTCTAGCAGCTGATCTGGAGGTGTGAATTCCAAGAGAATAGAAGCTGCTTTTGTAGTTAGCAAGCCATTCACAGTCTTTGTTTAATCCAGAGTTGATTGTGTCAAACTTAAAGATGAACTGTAGCTCAGCAGTTTCTCTTTGAAGTCTGGTCCTGAAGTTTTTTTGCTGCAGGATGGCTACTTTTAGATCTGCAATTGTGTGTCCAGGAAGATTGAAGTGTTCCCCTACAGGTTTTTGTATGTTGCCATTCCTAATATCAGATTTGTGTCCATTGATTCTTTTACGTAGGGACTGTCCTGTTTGGCCGATGTATATAGCAGTGGGGCATTGTTGGCACATGATGGCATATATTACGTTGGTGGATGTGCAGGAGAATGTACCAGTGACAGTATGGCTGATCTGGTTAGGTCCTGTGATGGTGTTGCTGGTGTATATATGTGGGCAGAGTTGGCACCGAGGTTTGTTGCAAGGATTGGTTCCTGAGTTCGAGTTATTATGGTGCGGTGTGTAGTTGCTGGTGAGAATATGCTTCAGGTTGGCGGGTTGTCTGTGGGCAAGGACCGGCCTACCTCCCAAGGCCTGTGAGAGCGAGGGATCATTGTCCAGGATGGGCTGAAGATCACTAATGATGCGTTGGAGAGGTTTTAGCTGGGGACTATAGGTGATGGCCAGTGGTGTTCTGTTGGTTTCTTTCTTGGGCTTGTCCCGTAGCAGGAGGCTTCTGGGTACACGTCTGGCTCTGTCAATCTGTCTCCTCACTTCCTCGTGTGGGTATCGCAGTTTACAGAATGCTTGTTGAAGGTCTTGTAGGTGTAGGTCTCTGTCTGAGGGGTTAGAGCATATGCGGTTGTACCTCAGTGCTTGGCTGTAAACAATGGATCGTGTGGTGTGTCCGGGATGGAAACTGGAGGCATGCAGTATAAGTACATAAGCATGAAGTATGTGAATCAGTAGAAATAACTTTTCTAAGTCCATGTCTACATTAGCACTTATATTGGCAAAACTTTTGTCACTCAAGTGTATGAAAAGAAAACACATGCACCTTTATCTCCAAGGAACATACATTTTTACATCAAAGCTGCTTTCATGCCTAGTTCTGTGTTGGCAGGAGATGCTGTCTGCTGACCACTGATATCGCCACTTATTGAGCTAGGTTTCTTATGTTGTTTGCAGAGCTCTCTCTCATTGTCACCATGTGGCTACACAAATGTTCTTACAGGAACACAGCTATATTGGTAGAAGTGTGCCACTGTAAGCTTCTAGTGTAGACAAGGCCTAAATCAAAGGACAATAGGTTATGACCAAGAAGATCCCAGGCTGTACTAATCAAAAGGCAATTTAGGAATCCTTACTCAGAAAGGGGATGGAGGTTAAGATCTTTTTGGTGGAGTCACTGCCTCCTGTTATTCTCTTAAAACTGCTTGCTTAGTAGCAACATACAAACTTGTAGACATACCAAAAAAAAAACCAGTAAACAAAGAAGGAAGGCCTCAAAAGAGGACCAAAGTCAGAAGTACCTTGTATTATCAAGACTTAATACAAGGTGGATGGGAAGGGGAGAGAAGACAGGAACTGCAAGGTATATCCCTGATTCCACCATGCTTAGCACTTGCTTGTCTGAAGTGATGGACTGCTATGTACTTAGCAAATGTGACAACCTGCTCTCACAGGAGGGATGATTTTTGGTGCAAGCCAGATGGTCATTCTGCCATCCTTAATGGGGGAGTCAAACAGCCTCAGACATGGGGTTGTGTGGTGGAAACACTGGAGGGCAATGGATGGGGTCGTCTCCTTTGCTTTTTGTGCTTCGCCCTTTACTGATCTGCTTGTCTAGGTATGCAATAATGCTGCCTCCGAAGAAATTGAGAGCAAAATTTTGTTCTTTTCAGGGCTGGTGTAAAAAGATCTAGGGATTTCAATATTACTTTTGAGTCTTTAAAGTATGTATCGCTTTGACAGTCTTTAAGGAAAATAATACCCAACCCTCAAAGGGGAGCTCTTCAGTAGTCTGTTGTACTTGGAATCCCCAAGGGTCTGAAGCTATGATGAGTAATGCATGGTTACTGTCATTGCCATGACAAACAGTTGTATCTTCTTCAGCCAAGGAATCCTCCAGTGCAGAAATTGGAACCAGCTAAGTTTCTTCCACCAGAAGAAACTACAAGTAAATGTTGGAGTCATCTGGCGAATTGCTAAGGAATCTGTCCATCTCATCCCAACAGGGCTTGATGATTCACTATGCATAGCTGTAAGCCCGCAACTGAATACATCTTTCTGCCAATGGTATCTTTGTCTTTCACAGTCGCTTTTGCTCTATCCTGGCAGTGTATTTCATTTACTGGTATCACTTCCAGAGATCCGAGTGTGGGTGATGATAAAACTGTTCGTATCCTTGCAAAGGAACTTGGTATTGGCATTCTGTGCACTTTGACGATGGAGTCTGCCATACAGGTTTTATAGGCTGCATAATTGCACCATTTATAGGGAGAACAACTCTCCCTGAACATAGCTGTGTAAAATGTCCATGCATTTGTGGGGAACTTCCAAAAAACTTTGTCTGTATTCCTTGAGATGTATCCATCCTTTTCAGCAGCATCTGGTAGAACTTAAAGTCATCTGGGGCCAGAGAAGATTACATTTGTACCAGGGCCTTACCAAGTGAAGAAGACAATGTGATCAGAGAAGGCAAGTTAGAACCTGCCTAAGGCTGGACTTTTGCTATTGATGCTGGAGGCCTGGCAGAAGCCGGCAGCTAGCAGTGCCACTCCTTTTGTTTCTGATCTGGCATTTGTTTCTGTAGTATACTGGTTGCTGGGTACTAATTTTGTATGGGTCTTTTAGTATTAGGGAAACTTCCTTCTTTGGGAACTGTAGAACAGTGGAGACAAGGCTCTACATGCTGGAGACATTTCCCACAGTAACCAGCAGGACCAATGATAGAATTGGTGTGGTACCAAAGGCCAATTATGTCTAGACCAAAAATTTGCACTCCGGCCCCATCAGAGCTTTCAAGCTATCGATAACATGCGCTACAGCAGAGCAGAACTGTTAGGCTTGGAATTGGCACTAAGATTGTTTGTACTAGTATCAGAAGTTGCTAGTACCATAATAGACCCAGATGTGGGAGTCAATGAGTGCACCACGTGACAGGCCTGAAAGACACTGCCACTTAGAATAATCAGCAAGGCTAGTACTGAGAGGCTCAGGATGTCTTTTGCAATTGTGTATGCCACTAAAGTAATCACTATTGAAATGAACCTTTGCTCTGCTGTGAACAAAGGTGACAAGCTCTAGCATCAGGGTGTCCAAAAATGCTAGCCACATGTGGCTATTTGGCTGGTTGAATGTTGCTAGTTTGCTATAGCAGTAGACACTGTAGCTGCTACTGTTTCAGAACTGGTTGGATACCACGGCTCATCTGTACCAAGAAATTAGTCTGTCTTGATAGTCTTGGAGTCAACAGCTCTGATCTTGTCAAGCCACTAGGATATGGCTGTGACAGATACAAAATGTCCTGTAATATCACAGACTCTTTCTAGACCATGGATGTTGCTGGAACAGAGAGTCCCAGATTTGGGAAGTTCAACCTGCAGTAAAATAGTTTTTCCTAATATCCAACCTAGATCTCTTCCATTGAAACTTGAGACCACTGCTCCTCATTCTGTCGTCTGTCACTACTGAGAACAGCCTCTTTCCATCCTTTTTGGAACCCCTTCAGGTTGTTAGAGGTTGCTATCAAATCCCCCCTCACTCTTCTCTTCTGTAGACTAAATAAGCTCTCCTCGTAAGCCATGTGCTCCAGCCCCCAATCATATCCTGGACAAACCTTGTGCGATTAAGTTAAACTTTATTAAATTCAGAATTTTAGGAGTTCACAGTATTAAAAATACAATAGTTTAGGTACTATTGTGGGATTTTCATGGGATTTCTTTAAGAGAAAGTCCAGATTAATGCCATTTCTGGGAAGTATTAGGAACATCAAAGGATTTCTGGGGACAATACACGTGAAGTGAATTTCCTAGTAGATAGTTGGATCAAGGGAATGCTGGTTACCTATTCACGGTTTCTTCAAAGACCCAAACTGTATAAAGGAATGCATTACAGAGGGAAAAAGGTCCTTATTAACAAGCAGAGGGTTTTGTGAACCTGAATTTGTGAAAGCTTTTGGGTGGGAGATTTGGAAGGACTATTCACCTGCTAGAATGCATGTTGGAGTTGGGGTGACCTCTGGTAAAATTATTAACTGGAAGTTCTTGTGTTGTTTCTAATGAGTATTCTCTTCAGTGTTTTAACCTTATGACTACAACATACTTGATTAGAAAAGGTAACTTACCTTTTGGCAATGACATTGTGTACCATCTCCGAAGATAAAGTAAACAAGGTCTCTTTAGGCAGCCCATGTTTTGCTGCAGGTTTCAAAATATAGTCAAGTGATTATGTAGCCTATAAATACTCAGTCAGAAGAAAGAGAGGTGGGTGCCTTCAGTCAAAAGAGTGAATGGCTGGTGAGCTAGAAGCCTAGAGTGGGGCCCTTGTTTGATGTTACACGAGCAATTGTCCTGAAATGTGACAGCAACACCAGGGAAGGGTGGGCTGAACGGTGTATTCTACATTTGCTACCTGAGTGGCTAGCCACTGTGGTTGAGGAGTCCCATACCAAGCATTCTGATGTGGAATTCATCCTCTTCTTTGGTTTTGGCTTTTGAGGATGATCCAAGCACTTGCGCCTCTTTGAAGTATGTTGTGGCAAAGGGGATCTCTTCCCATCTATATCCCCAGAGAATGCTGGGGGTAGGACTCCTGGATCAGAAGGAACCTTTAGTCAGCTGAGGCTGTACCAATGCAGACCAAAAAGGGGCCTCGATGAAGTACACGGAGTGTTCTCGGTTCCTTAGTTCTTATCTTGGAAAATCAAACCCTATCGTCCATGATGTGATCCTCATCTAAGCACTTCAGGCTGTGAGAAAAAGGTCATCAGTTTTGTGACTCTTGGAGCAGAATTTGAAGACGGGGGACATGGGCATAGGCTCCGTAAGTACCAGACAGAATCAAGAGGCTACTCCTACTAACTATGGATGTTAGGGTGTGCATTCCCTATTACAGCCCTCCCTTTCATTAAGGCATGATATTTCTGCAATCGGCATCTTTAATGCCAACTCCATGTTGTCCATCTCTGTGCACTATTCATCCATCCAACTGAGAAACATCTAAAGTCCAACCTCTTTTAGGGAAACAAAAGCTCAAGCTATTAATTAAAGTCTCTCAACAAATAAACCTTTGTCTGGTCTCTGTTTTCTATCTCCTTCTGCTGCTCTGGAGTGTTTTCCTCCAGCTTTGGGGCTGTGTACTGGCTCCTCAGAACAAGTCTCTCTGAGGACTCTGGTCTTTTGAAGATTCTGGCTCATGATCCTTCACTGGAGTCCCTTTTGGTTCTCTTCTTCGGATTGAACCCTTTCCCCTTTCATGAGGATCAGGTATCTAGTTATCATCTGATGCCTTCCAGTACCAACCATCTGGCTGAGAAGCAAGTAATTAGGTACACATGACACCTTCAATAATTAGCTATTAAACTCTTTCCACCCTGAAACTGGGTTATAGAGGACAACAGGTAAAGCAAAAGAAAAGAAAGAGAGTTCAAAGACCAGAGAATGAGTACCACTAAATAACTGATAAACAAAAAATTAACTAAAAACGGCTTGTTCACTGAAGGAACAAACAGACATGCTTTGACCACCAGCCATGGACCGTGAGGAGGAACTGAAGAATGGGTGGGAAGGCTCCATCCTTTATATATTTGGCTCAGAGCATAAGAATATTAGGGTAGAGGTATGGCCCACCACTATGGATATTGCTGGAGAAAACTCTCCAGCACCAGGGCATGAGATGTGCACAGCCTGCTCTAATGAACATATGCACTGACTTGAATAAGAATGAAAAGAGATGGCAGCAGAACTTGATTCATGTTGTGGCAAACATTTTTCAAGTTAAATTTTGCATGTCTACACAACCATGTTACAGAAATAAAAAATGTTAAGGACACAACAAAATACATATTTTTGAAAAAAATTGCCACTATTAGAGCCTGAATTACAGGCTCTAACGGATATTATTAAAGAATACAATAAAACAGAGAAACGACAATAGGCTTTTCAGCTGCTTCAGCTCTCCAATAAATATATATGCATGGACATACAAATAAACCTATTTAACAGAGTATAGAATGCCATTTTATATTTTACTTATACACTTGTATACTTTTTTGCTCCTATTGTACATTTCCAATGATTTTTTCCCTTGTAGCCAATTCAGCAATTATGTTTAAATTCATTCACATGAAACCAAATAAACCTTGAAGATGGGAAGTTAATTGAAACATTTATAATTACCATTGTCTATACTACATGCCTACCTTCCACTTTCTTTTCTTTTGATTTTGTAGAATTTTCTTCTTTCTTTTGCTTTGCTTCTAGTAGTTCACGTTTCAGCTGGCGCACTTCTTTGCGCAGTTCCTCACTGCAAAGAGAACAATATTTACATGAGTTTAATCTTCTAAGAATGTAAAGCCACTCAGGAGAAACAGAGTCAAAGTTAATGGGCAGTAAATCTCTGATGTAAACAAAGGGAATGTATTGCTTCACTCTTGTTAAGTCTGGTATGAAGAACTTGGCTCAAAAGTAAATTGGAACCTTAAAACGCTCTTCTTTACATTAGCAAAGACAACAAAAGAGTATGATAAATGGCTTTTTTAAGAGCCCATTAGAAATATGTCAAATGTAGGGGACAACCAAAACGGGGTCCTGCATTTATGCTTTGATTCATTAATTTAACATTGTATCATCCATAATACTTAACTGTAAGAACCACACTTAAAGGAAATAAAAAGCAGAGGAACCTTAAAACAAACACAATATTGTCTTGTAAAATGCAATTTACTGAAATGATAATTCTTCCAATTTATAATTTCCTATATGGACAGTAAATTGAGTTGATGAATCTATATGAATCATACTAATACGAAATTAAGTATTTTTAAATGTATTTTGTGCTTTATAAACTTTACTAAAAAATGAACATCTGTAAAAGACAGAACAGAGAAAACCAAAAAGTGGTAAGAGAGAAGTTACATTAACACTGAGTCTATTTTGTTAGTTTATCATCTGTTTTAAATGTTCTCTGCTGAACTTCTGTATTATGACCAGAATGATACTTGTTTTCTTTCAACTGCTTTTTCTAGGGGGGTTGTTTCTTTGTCTCTTCAATTATTAATACAATTCTATCAATGAATTGACTGTCCAAAGCTATCCCCCAAAAAGCGTTCAATTCTTGCAAGACAAGTCAAGTTGTATGAAGAGATAATTTATTGAGTTCCAAAATGAAGTCTTGTTAGTGATGGAAAAAAATGGGAAAGCCATAATTACCGATCAATATTTCAAGCCTTTTTGGTATTCTAATTTATACATTCTCCATTTTGCTTTTTAAGTTGCAACTGCTTTAGTGTTTATGAAAGAGAATGAACAGAAGTACTGGCTAGAGCAGAACATAATGCAAGAATGTGCTGTGCAAGCTTCCCCCCATGGTTTGATCAGTGCACTTTAATTCTGATCTATAATACCCTTGTTATTCTAGTCCTGGGCCTCTCGAGTCAAGACTTGGAATTATGTTCTAATTCATTCTTCTGATATTTATTTTTAATCATGTGTGTGAATGAGATGCTTGTGAAAAGTAGCAGAATAAGTAGAATATAAAGTCATTTATTCAAAGAAAAGGAAAAGCAGGGTCAGGAATAGTGCAAACTTTGCCCTACTCTAAAGGGATTTCTTAGGCTAAGAGGACTGTCTCATTTCTATGGTTATTCAGTCCTTCACAGCTGTAAGACACTGATTGTTTCACTTTGCTAACAGGTGCAGGAACACATCAGGTAACTGCAACTTAATTCTTGCTGACTCACTTATGTTTTAAATGTTTACTCTGAATATAAGAGGAATAGTGCAAACTTTGCCCTACTCTAAAGGGATTTCTTAGGCTAAGAGGACTGTCTCATTTCTATGGTTATTCAGTCCTTCACAGCTGTAAGACACTGATTGTTTCACTTTGCTAACAGGTGCAGGAACACATCAGGTAACTGCAACTTAATTCTTGCTGACTCACTTATGTTTTAAATGTTTACTCTGAATATAAGGGAG